AATTTTCTTGGCCTTCAAAATCACTGTGGACGGTGACTGCAGCCATGAAATTAAAAGACAATTGCTACTTGGAAGAAAAACGATGACAACCCTAGAGAGCATATTAAAAAGCAGAGACATCACTTTGCCAACAAAGGTCCACATAGTGAAAGCTATGGTTTTTCCAGTAGTTGTGTGTGGATGTGAGAATTGGACCATAAACAAGGCTGAGCAGTGTTAAGAAGTGATGCTTTTGAACTGTGGTGCTGGAGAAGACTCTTGAGAGTCCCTTGGACTGCAAAGAGATCAAACCAGTCAATCCTAAAGGAAATCAGTCCTGAATATTCATTGGAAGGACTGATGCTGAGGGTGAAGCTTGAGTACTTTGGCCACCTGATGCAAAGAGCTGACTCATTGGAAAAGACTCTGATGCTGGGAAAGATTGAAGGCAGGAGGAGAAGGGGACGACAGAGGATGAGACGGCTGGATGGCATCACTGACTCGATGGACATGAGTTTGACTAAACTCTAGGAGAGAGGAAAGGACAGCAAAGGCTGGTGTGCTGCAGTCCATGGGATCACAAAAAGTTAGACACAACTTAACAACTGAACAACAATTCAATTTTAAAAATGAAAACAAAACAGTGAGAGACGGAACAGAAATTTAAGATCAAAGTAAACCCCAAATAGAAGGTGAAGTATAAAATAACACAAGCTACAGTAAAACAATTTGGGAGTTTTAGAAAGAGGCTTAGAATCATTACAGTAAAAGGTTAAAAAAACTTAAAGATTGATCCTAGAGCTAAACTCTCAAAAATAAAGCTTAAATTTCGGGTAACTGAATTTAGAATGAACAAAAATAAAAGTAACACGGAAAGAAGTAGAATCCAAGATGTGAAGGCTTCAGATCAGGTTGTTGGAGGAATCTAGCACATTTAAACCTCCTCCAGAGCTGACAGGATTGACAAAGAGATGCACAGATCGCCATCTAGTGGTGAATAGAAACACTTTCCTTGTTACTATGGATACCTCTTCCACCCCATTCTTTTTTATTTCCCGTCTTTTCCTTAATTTTGGTTAACAGAATATTATATTTAGTAGAATTATTTCGAAGAACATATTTTTCCTGAAATATCTTAATAACAGAAGACAACTTATAATTTCTCAATATGAAATGAAGTTGCTGTAATCAAATATGGAAGAAAAATTTTCATGAAGCAATAAAAAATAGTGTAGAATTTTAAAGCTATTCACCTTAAAAACTAACCACATAAAAGACAAGAAACAGTTCATTTTAACTCTGAAATATCACTAGTTTCAATGAGAACACATTATTTTCAGAAATAAAAGAGCAAAACATAGTATTTTTGCTCTTCAGAAACTTAAAACATAACAAGTAGGCAGTCAATAAAAAATTTTTTTTGAGGGAGTGATTACCAAATTCAGGCTTCCTTGGTGGCTCAGTAGTAAAGAACCCATCTATCTGCTAATGCAAGAGTCGTGGGTTTGATCCCTGGGTCAGGAAGATCCACTGGAGAAGGAAATAGCAACATCTTGCCTGGGAAACTCCATGGACAGGGAAGCCTGGCTGGAACTCCATGGGCTGCAAAGAGTCTGACATGACTTAGCAACTGAGCATGAACTCACGATTGCCAAATTCACTCAGACCTAATATTCACTTGACAAGTGTCATTTACTCAGTAAAAGTGGTTCAGTTAAAGTCAAATTTCAGCTGATGATGCCTGTAAGGAGGAGAGAAAAATCTGCACTTGTTATCAGATACTGTTTACCTTAAATGGAGATTTTGCAAAGGCAGGAAGAAAACTAGTATTGACGGTTCATTATGCCAGATGCTCTTCCTTCATCATCACATTTAATCCACAAGCAACTTCATAAGGTGAGAATCTATTATTCCTACTTTACCAAGAGGAAGACAAAGCTTAGTAAGTGCAAGTAATTTAGGTTTAATTTATACATGTGAAGTTTGTAAAGTGATTGAAACTTAGGTCTCCAATGATTACTGCTGTACATTATGCTATCTGGTTAGCGTTTCTGCATACAAGGACTCAACTTGAAAAGTAGTTTTAAACACTAAGTGAGAAATATTGTGAAAGCACTTTGCAAATTTCAAAATACTGTACAAATGTATGGAATTATTTTGGTTGTCAGTATTTAATGGGCTTATTTTAAAATACTGAGAGAAACTGGTTCAAATCAGACATGCATTCTATATTTGCAATATGGAATGACTCCTCCCAATTTTCAAAAAAAAAATTTTTGCATTACATCAGTCCCACACCATTAGTCTATGTCTGTAGGTCTAAAACTTTTCAAAAATATATAGCCTTATTTGTCAATACCTCTCAAATATTTTATTCATGCCACATAGTTCAGCTTAGTGAACTTTTTACTTTTAAAAATGTAAATTTCCTTTTCTATGATCTCTGTAAATTGTACTGACTCTAGGTTAATTAAAAAAATAGTGTGTTGGCAAAATAGAACAGCAAATTAGGAACAGACTAGTGAACACAGTGGAAGGCCCATGTTTGTTGGGCTATGCTTTGCAGTTCACCATGAACAGCTTGAAATTTTTAGAAAAATTGTTACATAAACCTGGACATGCTCTGCTGGGAAAAGTACATGTCCCAAAGCTTGTTCCTTGAGGAACGCTGGTCCAATACAACATGGTCAAGTGGTCAATGAGTTTGGGAAACGTTTCACATTACATAACTTGAACTTTCCAATATGCAGTCATATATTCAAGACTCTGAAAAGTGCAACAGTAAGCCTTTTAAAATTTGTAGCAATTTTCCATGGCTCTTCATATTTTCCATGGAATACTCCTCTGGCTCAGGGGGTAGGGGATGCCACCATGAGTCTATTCAATTGACCATTTTCTGCTCATAAAATACCAGCTTACTATGCTGGATTTGAATACAACAGATAACCTATCCTAATTTCAAAGAGTCAGTGCTTCAAAATTATATATATATATGTATATATATATATATTCATGAGGATTCCTATGAGAGGAATACCTGCTTTATTCTTAGCAACATCAACTGGAAAAATAAATTTCTCCTGGCTCCAAAAATTTGAGTTTCCAAAAGTTGTGTATCCTTTTCTAGCCAGTATATTCAGCTTCCTTACCAAGAACAATGAAAACAAATATAATATTACACAATTTGCAAAGGAAATCATTTTTCTTTGACATCTCAGATTCAGAAATTCTGAACTAAAAATAAACATGAAATTTCAAATATGGAGTGTTTGGGATGGTCATATTATGTAAATATTTGGATGGAAAATCATTGAATCTGATACAGCACTTATAAAATATAAAGAATTAAACTTAACAGTAAAATACTCCTCATAAGTATTACAAACATTCCATTAAGTGGACAAATTAAAAGAATCAAGAAGGAAAAACTCCAAAAGATAATATTTACTTAGAAAACAATATAGTCTATGTTGGGACTTCCAAGGTGGCTCAGTGGTGAAGATCCCACCTGCAATGCAGGAGACATGGGTTTGATCCCTGCATAGGGAAGATCCCCTGGAGGAGGAAATAGCAACCCACCCCAGTATTCTTGCCTGAAAAATCTCATGGACAAAGAAGCCTGACAGGCTAAGTCCATAGGGTGCAAAGAATCACACATACTGAGCAACTAAACACACAAGCATGCATTGTTTGTGTTTAAGAGGCTGTCTGCTGGGGAGAAACAGCTTAGAAATGAAATGGAAAAATACAACATTCTTAATTGATGCGGCTGGCAAATCTGGCAGTATTGAACCGCCTGCTTCTCTCAAGGAGTATACAAGATATCACACAAAAATTTAATTTCATTTAGTTTATTAATATGATCCAAACAAACAGCTTAAGACAATGAGCAAAAGACCCAAGATAAGATTTGGCTGATCTATACCAAAAGAACAAAAAAGGTGACAGGACTGGTGACAATTTTATTTTGGAAAGTTAGTTTATTAACTAATATAAAAATAAATCTACAATAGCAACTGTGACTCAGATTGAGCCAGTATGCAACACGTGTGATACCCAACATGGTCAGAGAGGACCTCACACCCTCCTCAGCTGGTTCACACCCTCCTCAGCTGGTTCACACCCTCCTCAGCTGGTTCACACCCTCCTCAGCTGGTTCACACCCTCCTCAGCTGGTTCACACCCTCCTCAGCTGGTTCACACCCTCTGGCCTTTGTCCTGGACCTTCACAAAAGGCCCCTCACAGCACTGAGCTTGCAGCCAGCTACATTTTCTCCTAGCCTACAATCAGTTATGTACCATTGCTATGTTTCCTGCAGCCTCTTTTTCTTTGGATAGTGACAGAGCTCAAGGAAAAAACTCACCTGGCCAGTGCTGAGCAAGAAGCGGGGAAAAAAAGATGGGCTCAGTGTGGTTTGGGACGCAGACTCGGGTAAATGAGCAGGCTAGAATGGGCACCATCAGAAAGTGTTGAGGTCAGGGGCCCACAGGTGATTCACAGAAATACAGAGCTGCATATTACAAGAAAGTAGAAGAACCACTGTTCCATTCGGGAAATCACAGCAAAGAGCAGTAAAGAGAAAGAACACTGGAATGGACAGTACTTCCATTTACACCTTTAAGATAAAAACATTTAAAAAGAGGAATACAGAAATGAAATCAATCATTTCAAGAAGTAAAATAGCGATAACAAGTATTTCAATAAAATGAAATACAGGAGATAAAGAAGTCTTTTACTTCCACTTGACTTTGTCCAATTTTTTTAAGAGGTTAGGTAAGGTCAATTTTGCTTTACTGAACGATTCATTCATTTTATCAGATATTTCTGAGGAAAAGATGAGAACCTGATGGACATCTCTCAGGAAGCCTGGGGAAGAAGAGGGGACCAGAGGAAGGGAACCTGTGAGAGGAAGTCTCCAAGGTCTTCACCCTCATCCTTCACACCCCATAAATGTCCTTAACCTGCACGGGAAACGTCAGGCTCGGATCATGGAAAACCGTGGTCACCGAGCATGAGGGAATTACGGGCACACACTCCTGGGGCTGAGTGCGCCACCCAGGACCACGAAACTCAGGAGCAGCTTGAGACAGGCATTTCCGTGCAGGGAGGTGGAAGACGCCCCGCACACCAAGGGCTCTGCTTGATACGGTCTTTCTATATCTGGAGGTAATGCTGTCATGCCTTGAATCTGAAAAGGAAAGAGCAGAAACAAAGCCACTGAATGTGTGATTGAACACCAGGCCTGTGGCCAAGCTTGCTCAGCCCTGCGCTTCTGCAGGGGCTAAAAGGGTGGGAGGGGGCAGCGGGTGCTGAAGTGGTCCGACGTCAGGCAGTCAGAACCCTAGGGATTCCCAGCAAGGTGGAGAAAGGGTCAGACACACCTTTGGGAAAGAATAGATATAAAACACGCTCTCTTGGGTTTCTTTTTGAAGCTTTCATCCCACCTTATTCCTTTTTCATCCCAACTTTAGTTTTAGAATAAACTTCCTTCTTTGAAGGAAGTAGAATCAGGAGTTTGGGGGCATCTACATAATCACTGAAAAATTCTCAGACTTATCAAAAGACAACTGGATTTATGGATATCTGTCTGTTCCTCTCATTTTATCTGTTGTGGATTCCGGTAAACTCCGGTATCTGTTTTCCCTGAAGATTAAAACAAAGTGGGGCTTACCGACCACTCTGCGTTGTCTGTCTTGGAACATCTCACGTTGACCGGCAGGCTAAGGACAAGCTTATTGAAGGCAAGACCTTCCTTTTTAGTCCATTTAAACTTGTTCATTGCATCCATGAAAGAAAGGTTTTTATACTGCTTAGGGCTTTTGATAATAAAAGGCCAGGTCCTGAATATAAAATACATAACCAGAATGAGTCATATTCAGAACAAGAGCATTTTGTGTTTCCATTACTTTTCAATACCGTAAGTCCCCTACATATGAGCTTTTAAGTTGTGAACTGCTAAAGATGCAAACATACCCCTGTATACCAGCTGTTGTGTACCCCTGCACTTTTCAAGGATGGTATTGTAAGGTTACAAACGCTTTCGCTACTTATCTACATATTATCTGTGTGAAAAGTACTATAAACCTATGACAGTACAGTACTATACAGACGATTATGTCAGCTGGGTACCTAGGCAAACTTTGTTGGACTTGGGGACACTCTCTCAGAAGGAAATGCATTTGGATGTAGGGGACTTATAGTATTCTAAAACAGACTTCATACTAGTTCATTTTTACACACATAGATAACCTGATTGAAAGTCCTAATGAACTTTTAATCAGTTACTAGAAGAAATACATATAAAATAAGAAGTCTTTTTTAAGAAAATTCCTCAGTTTAGTAGCAGATGAGTGTTACTTTTAGACAAATAGTTTTGACTTAGAAAGCTTCCCCGGAACCCCACAATTCCTCACATAATTGTTTTGGCTTTGGTTAACAATATAACTGATAGGCGTCAGTTCTGAAGACTGCAAAACTAATGATGTAATGAAGAAATGTGCAGAATATCAAAAGATACTGAACAACGATGGAAATTTCAATTCCATACTCTTGAAAAGCCTGACCACTGTTGGTTGTCCAGTTTTTGCTTACCTAGGTGGCAACATTTTTTTTTTAATTGAACCAGTGTTTTTAAAATTTCACTGAGAAAAAAATACTTTGAAGATGATACACTCTGCTTCTACTTGCTGCTGAAGAAAAATATATGTTAAATGTCTAAGAAATATAAGTTTTAGATTCTCGATTCTTGAAAAAAGGAAAAGTGTTTAAGTGTAGTTCAAAAATTTGCATGGTCTGTTCCATGAACCATCCAGGAGATTATCATGGGTAACTGGTAGGGGTTTGGCTCCCTTGATACCCCAAGAGGAAGTTCCAGCGATTTTCAATAATTAACAACGAATTAACCTCCAGCTGAGGAATCTACATTTTTAATATTTGATCTTTGTAATTTCTTCATTTAATTATGCCATATCAGCTCGCTCTCTCTTACATACATAACCTACTCAGGCATGTTGAATATTATCTTTTTAATTAAATTAAACATTCTTTATTGTCTTTTAGAGTTATGAAGATAAATTTTTTATGTTTGAAATGAAAACATTTCCTCTGTACTTTAATAAGTGAGATAATGAATAATACAATAGGTCATATATGAGGATCTTTATATTCTTTATTTCTAACCTTTTTTCTTTAATTAAAGTCAATATATCTTTGCTGCATTTTAAATGTGCTGTTACGCACAGAGACCTGGAAGTTCCATAAAGAATGAGCAAGCACCATCACACTGCAGCAAACAGATCCAGCAATGACCTAAAATCTATAAGGTCACAAATTAAATACTCTGTGGAGACTTATAGAAGTACAATCCAGAATCAGTACAAAATAAAATCTGTACATGTAAAAACTTTCATAAAGTAAAAATTTAACTTGAAAGGGACCCATTATATTCACATACCATGTCATTTAAAATATACTAAAAGCTAGGTGCTAGTGGTAAAGAACTCGCCTGCCAATGCAGGAGATGCTTGTTTCATCCCTGGATCGGGAAAATCCCCTGGAGAAGGAAATGACAACCCACTCAAGTATTCTTGCCTGGGAAATTCCGTGGACAGAGGAGCCTGGTGGGCTATAGTCCATGGGGTCACAAAGAATCAGACACAACTGAAGCAACTACAGCCTCCCCAAAGTAGCTAAGTTTAATTAAATATAAAATAACTTTAAATCAAATACTAAAAAGAAAATTTACTTTTCAAGGAGATAAGGTATTTGCCTTGAGAAAAGGAAAAATCTACTTTATAACCAGGAAAATGCCGGGCGGGTAGCGTGGAGCGATCATCAGCCTATAATCTCCTAAAACACCACAAGGGGGCACTGGAATCTCTGCTAACTCCCTAAGTTTTCCGCAGCTTTGCTAGTTAAGAGTGAACGCGTGTGTGCAGTCACTTCAGTCCTGTCTGAGTCTTCGCCGCCCCGTGGACTGTAGCCCACCAGGCTCCTCTGTCCATGGGATTCTCCACGCAAGAATACTGGAGTGGGTTGCCATGCCCTCTTCCAGGGGATCTTCCTGACCTAGAGATTGAACCCACGTCTCTTACGTCTCCCGCATTGGCTGGTGGGTTCTTTATGTATTGTATATTACATAAAGGAAACCTTAAAAAAAAAAGGTTTACCGCTAGAACAAATTAAGCAAATTAGCATCTGTTTGAGATTTCACAGTATAAAGTTACTGAAGAGGTATAAACACATCTGTTTACTTATTATAATTATGTAGAAAAGGATTTTTAAAAAGGGCAAGCCCAATGGACCCTTTATTGGAACCAGCAGGACAGGCTGGGTGGGGAGGAGAGTGTCACGACCTCCCTAACCTGGCATCTTGTCCCATTTTTATTGTCTCCTTTCCCTTCCTACTAAATTTGCTCAGGCTCCTACTTTATAACATCACACTAACAAACTTCCTAACCTTCCAGCCTGTCCTACACCACACTTGCTGATTACCACTGGAAAGAAGAGGAGGAAAAGACAGAACGAGGAGTAATCCTGAAAAAGTAAATATTTACCCTAAGTATTTTTCCTTAAAAGACTGCAATCTAAACCAGAAATAGATAATGTTCAGGTAGTAAGTTCTGCTGTCACTGGGACTGGGACTTAGTTATTAGAAATTTAGGAATGGTCTAGAAAGTAAAACTATTACATTTCTGCACATCTGGGCAGTGTCTAAATAACTACCCAGATCCACATATAAATTGAAGGGTATTATTTATATATCACTGTAGTTGACAAAAATAAAGGCTTTAATATTGATGAGTAATTTTCCTTTATAAGCTTAATTTAATTGGCTAGTTGATTTAAAAATATACAGAAATGAAATAAACTTTAAGACTATCCAAAATAACTTTGGAAAAAAAAAATGGCAAAGTTTGGGGATTTACACACTCATTTCAAGACTTACTATAAAACAATAATAATAATTGTGTGGCATTATAGTAAAGCTAAACATGTACCAGGGAGGCCTGGCGTGTTGCGATTCATGGGGTCGCAAAAAGTCTGACACGACTGAGCGACCGAACTGAACTGAATTGAACTGAAACATGTAAAAATGAACAGAACACTCAGAGTCCAGAAATTGGCAATATATGGTGAATGGATTTGCAACAAACATTTCAGAGTAACTATTTAGGAAAAAAGTAGCTTTTTTCATCAAACAGTTCTTGTACAACTTGATGTCTGTATGAAATACAATAAACCTCAGAAAATTCAACAAACAGAAAATTATTCAAAATGGATCTTCAACCTCATGCTAAAACTGTAAAACTTTTAGGAAAAAAAAAAAGAGAGAAACTCTTCACAACCTTGGGCAAGCGACAGTTTCTTACAAGGGATATCAAAAGCACAAAACAAACCAAAAACAATACAATGGACTGCAGAAAAATACAGCTAAAAAATTAAAAGCAAGTCATAGACCAGAAAAAAAATTATTTGCAAACATACACCTGACAAAGAATTTATATGTAAAGTATAAAAACTCTTTACAATTATAAAGAACTCTTACAACTCAATAATTAAAAAAAAACTCAGTTAAATGGACAAGAATTTGAACTATTAAAAAGGGACATGTATCAATGACTAATCAGCATGTGAAAAGAGGCTTGATATCATTTGTCACAGGGGAAATGGAAAATAAAACTATAGTAAGATACCACTGCATACACATTACAATAGATGAAATTCAAAATAAAGAAAATACAAAGAACACTGGGAAGATTAAGTAGTAGGAAATCTTACAGGTTATCAGTGAGAATGTAGAGAGGTATGTTATTTGGGAGAACATTTGAGAGTCTCAATGCTGTAAACACAGACTTAGTGTACAATCCAAGGATTCCACCACTAGGTATTAAAGAAGAAATTGAAAACATATGTCCATACAAAGATGAATACAATAATATTTATAGCAGCTTGCTTCATAATTGCCACAAACTGGAAACAATCCAAATGTCTTTCAACTAGTGAATAGATAAATGAAATTTTAGGTATATACACACTGGGGAATACTACTCAGCAATAAAAAGGAGTGGGTTGATGATACACATACATACACACAAATACATACATACATATATATGTGTAGATGAATTTCGGTATAGACAAATCTCAAAAACATTCTGAGGTAAAGCAGCCAGGCACAAAACAGTATATACCATATGATCCTATTTTCATAAAATCTAGAGACGATCAGACTAATAGTGACAGAAAGCAGATTCATGCTTTCCTGGGGCTGTGTGTGGAGGTGGGTGTCTCCAGAGGTGTGACAGAAGTCTCAGTGGTGATGAAAACGCCCTAGAGCTCGTCTGTGATGTGGTTAAACAGGGGAACACATCTGAGAGAACTTTCTAGCAGCATACTTAGCACACGTGCCTGCCCAGATGCTCGGTCTTGTCCAACTCTCTTGCGATTCCAGGAACTGTATCCCACCAGGCTCCTCTGGCCATGGGATTTCCCAGGCAAGCACACTGGAGTGGGTTGCCATTTCCTCCTCTAGAGGATCTTTCCTACCCAGGGATCGAACCCACGTCTCCTGCATCTCCTGTTTTGGACGGTGAGTTCTTTACCATTGAGCCGCCTGGGAAGCCCATACTTAACAACGAGGCATTTAACTGGATGTAAGCTCTATCTCAAACAATTTGACCCAAATAAATAAATAACAAACAAGAAATAAAATGCATCAACAAACAGACAAAAAAGATACAACCTATACTTTACCAATCAGATGGTTAAAGAAGGAGACCAGGAAATCTGACTGAATGAGGCACAACTCCTAACCCTCTGCACGCTTTCTGAGCAAATG